AATGCAGTTTAAATAATTTCTTATGAAGTACCAAAGTGAATATAATTACTCCAAAATTTTTATTGAAGTCAAATGCTGCAGGACTGTCACCCCTCTGACCCCTTATTCATGTTCAATGTCGAAAATAAATGGAAACGACAATAAATCATAACTAAACTTATATTTATGATTAGAATAAGAAATGAAATTTAAGAAAATTTTATATTCGCATGGACCGTCTTAAAATATAGCTGTAAAATCCTCGGTGTAGAAGATTAAGCTGTCATTTTAACTGCTGTTTTATCCGTCGATTCTCTCACTTTAAGGTACAGATGCTGGATTTTGGGGGCAAAAATCTAAACGTGGGCGAGATTAAGTAACAAACTATTTTAGAAAATTACATAACGAGAAGAATGATAATAAGTATTGATCACATAGGCTAAACATTGTTACGGTGATTAATTCAAGAAAGATAGAATGCGTGGAACATGAATTTCGTGTGTGGGATGAGAAACGCACGGAGAACTTCAGTCTGAAAAACGTTAAGGAAGTATAATATTAAACGGATCATAGATGAAGCAGGATATGTAAGGTATGGAATGGACTTAACTGGCTCAGATGGCTGTGAATTCATGGGTGTTTGTGGAAAAGGCGATCAACTTCAAAATTCCCGAAGAGCGAAGAATTGAGAAATGCTTAATCGTCTGAGAAAATATGAACGAATAGGCTTAATTTGTTGACGTCGGATACAGGCCCGTAATTGTCTGAAACGGGGTTTTTGTGAAGAATACACACAAAGAGAGGCTAGGGAACATTACAATTTAATCATTAGGCCTATTTATTTTAGTGATTAATTTATAGCCATAATTTCATCTTTTGATATAAATTCTCCATTTAACATGTTGTGTAAACTGAACGATTATCGTAGTCAGCAAGCTCACTGATAATGATGGAATAATTTATCTTTTATTACAGCTACAGAGGCGAAGACTTCATATCAACGAGCTGCATGTGTCAGTACGTCTAATAATTATTAGACGGACTGACACATGTAGTAGGCATATTTTTGCGTACTTTATTTGGCCCATTTTAATGAGGAAGTATGCATGTAATGCCACCAGGTAGCCATGTTGCCACGTACCAAGAGTCGGTTATCGGCAATACTATTTACTAATTTGTGAAGTCTGAGCAACACAGATCGTGTTCCTTTAATTGGAATTGATATTTTAAAAACATACAAACTATATTTCCCTATTTTAAACTTTAGAGGAAACAAGTATAAAATCATTAATAAATTACATGACAAAAAAATTGTTTGTGACGCATATGTTAGACCAGGGTGATCCAAATTTGTTTATTCCTTCGGGCCAAGATTAGTTTTTGCATCGGACCCAAGGCCAAGAATTCCCCTCTGGCACTACGTTTGAAAACTAGTAGCCAATTTTCGTCATCATTAATAATATTTACGCAGAAGTACATTACCACTGTATGCTTTATGTTGAAATACAAATGTTATCCAAATGTACATTAATTGCTATTCAGTAAAATATTTTTTTAAATTCGCTGCTGCAAAAATTTGTACCTGATACAATTTTTACCTCAAAATCTTACATCTTACGGTAGAGTTTTTTAAGTCGATAAAATGTGTCAAATTTGCACATAAAGCAATAGACGATACAATAACTGTGATTTCCCCTCCCCCTAAGTTATTCTGAGTAAATAAAATAAATACAATAACTAGTAACAATTTAACAAATAATTCTGCGTCCATGGTTACAAGTGGTTTGCAGGTCCATACATACTTCCAGACATATTAACTTGAGTCACAGCTTATGTGCAAAAGAATAAAGCACACTTTACATGAGACGAAAGACGGAAGTAGATGGCTCTGTCGCATGCCGCTTCCTGTTTCTCTTGTTTCTCCCCATGCAACCTCCTACCTTCCCTGACAACCTGCTCAGCTTCCTTTATCACCTTCCTTCCTAATTATTCACCCTCTTTCCCCCACGGTTCTGTATTTCATTACCAGTTCATGGGTCTAGGACGGTCAGACTGCACTTCTAAAACTATAATTCTCATGTAAGTTGAAAAAAAAATCTGTTTTTGGTTCACTCTGAACTCTAACATAATAATAAGACCCAAAGGGATAATAGGGTCCCAAATTGATAGTGAATCTAAAAGTTTTAAACAAATGATTTTCATATGCCAGGTCACTGCTTTTTCTTAAACAATTAGAGGACTGTAGTGAAAAGTATTTGATTAACAAAACAAGAACACTAAATTAAAACTACCTGATTGATTACATAACAAATTAACCGACACACCAAGTAGGAAGTAATGAATATGTCAATAAATACTATGCGTGCAGATTTTACTTCGAAATGCACAATTGTGCTTTAATTAAAAATCAAGTTTAACTTCATAAATCTGATTTCTTATTAAAAGGCTGGCTTCAACTTATTCGAGCATTAAGTCCTACAGGTTAAAACAACTGTGGCTAGAGATCGCTGTTGGAAACAGAATTAACGAGACTCCACGGTCATTTACTTCGCGACAATTTCTTCTTTGATTAGGCACAGTTTAACGACGTTGTTACATCTGCAGATTATACAGCACTGAAAGAGATGTGAACATGACCATGAAGGTTACAGAGAGTAGGATAAATTTAGCTTCTTTCAAGGTAGACTAGCGTACTATCCCAGTATTTCCTTTCGATGGACTGAGGAAGTCCACGAAAAAGTCAGTTAATCTAACCAAAATTCGAACCAGTCACCTTAATAATACAAGACTATAGGTCACATTCAAAGTACGTCAACCGTCTCAGTGTGAAAAAGTGGTTACAGAGAACGGTCTACTGCCTCTGCAAGTTTGTACAGTCATTGGGGTCAAAGTGTACTGGGGTCAACGAGCAGTTTGTATCATCTTGAGAGACTATTCACGTGAGAGACTTCGTGGGACGGAAGCTGTGCGTAATTTACATCTAATCAGAAGACATTATGATTGATAGTATCCTACAGTGTAATAAATGACAGAAGCCTATGCGTAGATTGTACCAAACTACAGGGTCTTCACAAAATGACTGAATATTTAAACTTAATTCTCTTTCTGAAATAACGTCAAAAACGGAGATTTACACATTGAACACCGACAAAACAACAAACCGACGCCTAACTTTCGTGTAACTCAAGTGGTTTTACTTTTGAAATAAGACTTTGCATAACCGTCATGCAAATATACAATTGTCAGCCCTTTCGCAAATACCCTGATTTAGATCTACGTCATTACGTCTTGCGTTAACAGCTACAGAAATAAGTCGATTATGTCCGATCATGTTGGCACAGCTGTTGCGAGAGACTCGGTCTACGTAGCAGGCTTAAAGCAGCTACCCTCCTTGAAGTCAGTCCTGGTCTCGTTCACTCCTTCCAAGCGACGTTTCGGAGAGACCACAGCCTACTACTTCCCGTCACCATTTGCGATTATCTAACAATCACATCGCACTCTGGACAGCTTCTTCAGTTAAAACAGCGTCGTCATACAACTTCTATATCAATAAATATATATCCTATCTATTTGAATGACTGGGTAAATATAAACGTAATACAATTTTATTTTTAGGAAGGGTTTAAAATATAAATTAAGAAAACGGTACACAAACTGCGAAAAGCGAAAACATTATGGGATGTTGAGAGTTTGTCCTGGCTGTACTATGCGTGCTACATGCTCCATCTCATCCGATGTGATCTTATCATCTTAATAGTGGGCTATATGCCAACTACGTGTTGGGTATTAGGCCCAACAAACACTGACGCTTTCTATTTCTTTATTATTCGCCATTAGTTGAGTATTTATCGTTCTTTTTCGTTTTATTTTTCTCCAAAATGCTACCTTGTTACTTCTTCAGTTTTTGAGCCGAAATCGAAATGTTTTCTGTGGCACCCTGTTCTTAAACGCCGTCAATCCAACCGTTTCTTCGTCCCTTAATACGAGAGACCAAGGCTTACACCCATACAAAACAAGATGTAAAACGATATTGTTCTTTATAGGCATTTTAATGTTTCATTTCCTTGATAACAGAATGAATTGTGATTAGGCTGCGTAATGACTTTGTAGATTTAGCATCCTCTTGTGATGTAGCCCAATCTAAGAAATCAGTAATTCGTCTTACATCATCGGTAGCAAAATTTAATGGTCGAAATGTCTGTAGTTAGAATAAAAGGCGTGGACGCTTTGCATAGTATCAGGTCATTCCAGAAAACACTGATTCCAATAAGAACTCTAACTGCCTGTGCACATTTCGCAAAGTCGTGTACGAAGGCTTCGAACATTCGGTTCTGTACAGAAAAAAGAACAGGGTATGAGACGCGTTCCACAGTGACCCTGCCGGTAATTAGCCGTCTTCTCCGTTGACTTGTACAGAGGTTTCGGAGTGTATTATAACGGAGCAGCAACGCCCTTCCAACAAGCAAACAAGGAGAGTGCAGTAATGTCACCTCCCTCCCCAAGTCTCGGCGCAGTCCCCCTCCCCCGCCAAGCCAGTTTTTGCTGCTACGGAGCCCAAACAGACCTGAAACTTATCCTATCGCACCAGCACTGCCTCGTGATTGGCAGGGCTGACGTTGATGGACGGCGTAACCATGACAACGAGTCTACGATCGGCCAATCAGGGAGGAGTCTAGTAACAAAGATTTCCCCCTCCACTGACTCTCAGTGGAGGGGGGTTGCAGCTGCTGGTCGTATCGGAGCGCGCTGTCGTCCAAGTGGAGGAGGGGTTCTTGTGTGTGTTGCGAGCGATGATGTTGATTAGGGAGACAGTGACACTAGGTGTCTTGATAAGTCGTGACACGGATAGGCCATGATGACGAGTTGCTAGGCAGTGAATGCGCGGAGGACAAGACATAGGTCCCGCCAGCCACCAGGCGGCTGGCTCCCCCGTGGTCGCGGTGGATCCCAGGC